TCCACACACACACACACACACACACACACACACACACACACACACACGAAAGATCGTGGGAGGAACTGGCACTCAGTGATGGAGCTTGTTTAATGTGCATTGAGCTCTGGGGTCCATCTCCAGTCTGATTTTTTCTTTTCTTTTTTGGTTTTTGAGACAGGGTTTCTCTGCATAGCCCTGGCTGTCCTGGAACTCACTCTGTAGACCAGGCTGGCCTCGAACTCACAGAGATCCACCTGCCTCTGTCCCCTGAGTGCTGGGATTGAAGGCGTGTGCGCCACCACCACCAGGCCAGTTTTTTAACAACACAAAGCAAACACTATTACTCTTACTCCTCTTGGTTTAATAGTAAGTGGAGGGTTATAAACCAATAAGAAACTGGCACTCACTGGCTCAGGTTCTTTATACAATATATTCTCACACCCAGCTCGGGAGATTGGTCCCATTTTTTTCCCATTTTCCATGAGGGAACTGAAGGTCAGAGAGGTTGCAGTGTTCACCGTAGGGCACAGCTGGCATTAACCGTGGGATCTCTCCTAGCTGGAACAGCGGGTCCTCAGGGGCCCACTCCTGAGCTCCCAGCAGCACACATAGTAGTGGGGACTCATCTCTGGCCCCATCTCCTGGCCAACCCTCTTCTTGTCTCTGTCGGGGTGTTTGGGGCATGGTTTGCAGAGTGCCTGGGCCAGCCATTAGATTATTGTGATGTCTGTCATGGGGTGGGGGTGGAGGGGTTTATAAGGACTCTGAGGAGGGGTTTGGGGCAATGTGCTGTTCTGACTGATGAGCTTCCTGGGTGTGCAATAGGGGTTGGCCCTGAACTCCTTGACAAGCGAACAGAGGAAGCTGAAGACTGCTTTGTGTCTCTCTCTGGCAGTTACTACCTTATCCTCAGCTGTGGGGACGCTCCACCCCAGCCGGACAGCAGGAGGGGGTGGGGGTGGGGGCGGAGCCGCGCCCCCCCTCAATTCCATCCCCTCTGTCACTCCCCCACCCCCGGCCACCACCAACAGCACAAACCCAAGCCCTCAAGGCAGCCACTCGGCTATCGGCTTGTCGGGCCTGAACCCCAGCACGGGGTAAGTGTGGGCGGCTTCAGGTGGGGCCCGAGGTGGGTCGTAGCTGCTTGCAGGGTGGGGAAATGCACCCATTTCTGCCCTGGGCTCCTGTCCCTGCTAATGCCTCTGCTTTGCTCTTGCAGAAGCACAATGGTGGGGTTGAGCTCTGGGCTGAGTCCAGCCCTCATGAGCAATAACCCTTT